GGTAAACATTGGTTTGATGCTTGACAGATGCACAAAATAATAGAGGTTAAAAAGGTACTTTCTTTATCTCTGCAAAAGATGCGTAGAACTCAATTTTGCGTATTCGGTCATTGTACACGTGCGACATATTTGTGGACCCACTCCTCGAATTTATTTGGAGTTGAAGCCAGCGTTGCCAACCGTACCATAATTATGGAAATGTACCATAATTTTACTATCTTTTCCATAATTTTTTTAGGCGTACCATAATCAATAATTGTACCATAATTTTGCAACTTTGCGTTAATCCTCATTCAACGGCAAAACGATTTTTTCAGTTAATTCTTGTGATTTTAAAAATAAATGTGTAATTTATGTGTTTTTAATTTTTTATACCATTTTTGTTTTGAACAGTTGGCTATTTTGTCTGCTCAAACTGGCTAAATCTCATTTTACATACCTGGCAACCCTGCTGACCACTGAAACCTGACTGTCAGATGTCAGTCAGAGAAAAAGAATATGTCAGTGGTCAGATTCTGTCATCACAAGTTCTTTATCTATGCATATGTAATCAAGTAAAGTATTAAATTAACCATGGATACCTCTGACTCTGAGTCAGAATCAGCAAAGCGGCCTAAATATATTAAACGAACACAAAAATACAGATACGAATGAGAACAGCAACCTGATTTTGTCGGTTGGTTAAAGTCCGTGAAAGGTATTATTAAGTGAATTAATATTTTTCAATCTCAATCTTTTTCTGTTTTAGAGTGTAGCGACAGGACATATTGCAAAGCCTGTAAAACGGATTTCCTTGCTGATATAAGTGTTATTAAAAACCATTCCAAAGGCATGAAACATAAAAAACTTGTAAAAAATATTTTTTTCCTCTGTCCATTTAAAAAAAACTGCCTCTTATTTATATTTTTGAAGGTGTACCATAATTTTATGAATTGTACCATAACTTTGAGGGTTGTGTACCATAATTTGTTTTCACGTGGTTGGCAACACTGGTTGAAGCTCCTGAATATAATCTTCTTATTAGGTACTATTTCGGCCGATAAAAAGTAATCGATTCTTTATCAAGTTGCATGTTTTACTTAAAAATTGGCTATTGTAAGTAGGGTTTTTTACGTCAGTCATGTCAATTAAATTATTTTGACAAGAAATCATAGGTGTATGACATATTTAATTTTTTAATAAAAAAACTTAAATTATATAAAGCATGTTTATTCGTAATACAAACAAAAAGAACAAATTATTTATTGGGCGACCAAAATAAATAAATTTAAACTTAAAAAGAAATAGTATACTACGACTATAACAATTATAAAAGATGAGCCAACCAGGGTTGGATGGGCTCAGAAAAACCGGCCCTGGCAATTTTTTCATTCAGCCCTCCCTCGAGCATTATCTTACATAATCTTACACATTTGTAATGCTATAAAAACTCCATTAAAAAAAAATAATTAATACTTGGTAGAACCATCATTCTTCTCTATAACATTTTGTAATCTCCTAGGCATGGAACTAATTAAATTTTGCATATCGTAATTTTCTTCCAAATTGTTCCACTCATTTTTAATTGCATTAATAAGGTCTTCTCTATTTCTTGGTCTAAATTTATATTTATATATATTTTTTACGAGATATCCCCAAATATTTTCGATTGGGTTTAAATCGGGGCTTCTTGACGGCCAAGGAAGCGTTGTAATGTAATTTTCTTCTAGCCAATTATGAACCACATGAGCAGTGTGAACTGGCGAGTTATCCTTAAAATGAAAAAATATATTTTTTTATCAGGAAAGATAAATCATAAAGTGTTAACACGTGTTGAAACACAAAATCATTATCAAATCTTTCTTGCACTGACGGGAGCATTACATCGTTTAAAATTTCCACGTTTCGGTTCCCATGGGACTGCGCAGTTAATCGGCCTTCTACAATATGAATTATACCAGCCCCTGAAGATGATATCCACGCCCACACGTGGACAGAAAATCTTCCGCTGTTGGGTTGGGTTTTGCCTCACATATTCAACCAACTCGTTGTCGTTTACTGGAGTTGTCTTTCTTGGACGCCCAGAACCCATTACCCTACTCAAGTCACCAGTTTCCACCCACTTTTTGTTTAATTTTTGAATAGCGCTTTTGCTGCAGTTTATTTCATCTGCTATTTGTTGTTGAGACTATCCTTCTGCAATTTTGGCGATAATATAGCCTTTCTCTGCTTCACTTAAAGTATGGTAAGGCATAATTAAATAATGACTTTACTTAATTTAAGATGACGTTACCTTATTTTATAAAATTATTTTTGAAATGCCACTGGTGACAACCATATTTACAACGGTAAAATTAGTCGATTTCTTTTTATCGGCCGCAATAGTACTTCTATCCCTAGGCTTTTTTGAGTTTTTTGTCTGCCGCTAATGAAAAAGACGCACTTCAACTATCTCTATACATGCATATAAGGTTTTATATGATGGCCGCTTGAAAAAAAAAATAATTTTCACATTTAGTATTATTTTACAAGAAGGACACTGTATTTTAGAAGAACAACTGTCAACTAACTTAAAGCTAACTTCAGCCCGTGACTAAATACATGTTTCTAACTTCAGCCCGTGACTAAAACGCCGTAAAGCTACAACTTGTCAATGTGTATTTAAAAGGTCACTTAGTGTCATGGAAACATGTACGATAATGGACGTTTTAAAGGTGGGAGTAGAAAATAGTATATTATGTATCAAGTTTGATAAACGCCATTTTATACACGAATTTAATTTAGGCACGAGCGAGCTTGCGAGCGACTGCTTAAATTAATGAGTGTATAGAAAAGTTTATAAACGAGGTGCATACTATACTTTTTCTACGACAAATACTTATTATCTTAAAATGATTTAAATCAAAAATTTGTATAGAGCGCCATCTATAAAACAATAGGGGAATCTGTGTGTCATCGTCAAATGTCAAATTTTATAAACACAGATTATAAAGGTTATAAATCGAAATGTATTTCTTGAAAATTGACAGTTTTTCACAGTGAAAGTAAAGAAAATGCTTTATGAGCACTTTACAGTGAAGTCCGTGCCCGAATTTAAGTTATAGTTTACTGCCGGCGAAATTAAAAGGTCAGTACAATCAGAGACCTTTGTCTCTGAGTACAATGTTCATATAAACTTTTCAAATATTGGCGTTGAGAAAATATTTAATACTTTTGTATTTTTGTATTGAGATAATAAAATAATTTTCACATTTAGTATTATTTTACAAGAAAGGCACATTATTTTAACGATTGTATGACATTTGACAACTGTCAACTAACTTCAGCCCGTGACTAAAAACCTGTTGCCAACTTCAGCCCGTGACTAAAGCGCCATAAAGCCACAATGTGTATTAAAAGGTCACTTAGTGTCATGGAAACATGTACGATAAAGGGCGTTTTAAAAGTGGGAGTAGAAAAAATTATTTATTTGGTGTTTTGTATTTTTTATAAATTTCGTTTAATAAAATTGTCTGAAAACATTTTTAAATTACTAAAACTTTTTTGTTTTAATAATTTTTATGCTTTCTGTTTTTTCTATTTTTTTTCATATAAAATCTGTTCAGTATATTTTTGTTAATGTTTTGGTATTTTTAAAATATAAATAATTTCTGTGTTACCTACATATTTTACGAATTTTATTCATGTTTTTGTATTTTTCGCACTTTTTTGGTTATATTTTTAGTAGATATTTAAACAAATTTTTATTATAGCCCCATTTTTTTCCATTGCCTGATATGTAAATTATTGTGTCCTGTTAACTTGACATGTAATTATTTACAGGGGGTCGCAAAAGTCATTGACTGCAGAAAAGGTATATATATATATTAGGGTGTCCCTTATTTTTATTTTTTTTACGCATACCCTCTAATTATATTTATTACGTGTTTATATACTTCCAGTAAAAATTTCAGCTCATTCTATAAACGGGAACCCGTGCCGACTTGCATCTGAACCCTCCGTTAGCCAACGTTAGGCGCGCGGTATTTTGTAACACGGTTGGTCGCGAGGTCTTCGATCGTAAGTCATTTTGTGTTTGTTATTATGTGACCCTTATATTATAAATTATTGACAAATGTTAAAATATAATTTTATTTATGTGTATACTTTGATAAAAATGTATATTTTCACAGGGAGTGGCTAGTTACCCGGAAGGGTCTGGTGAATAGGCCGTAAACTCTGAAATTGATAAACTTAATGGGTTTTACTCTAAATAACTAAAAGAGTCTATTGTGAGAGATGACTACCGAAAACTTATTGAACTGTCTGAAATATTTTTGGGAGGACATCAAGAAAAGAAATGCTTATAAAAATCTGAAATTTCATATAACAGTATACTTTAGCAATACTAATTAGTATATTAATATATTTAAGGGATAAAATCAATTAAATTAGTGAAACAAATGATAGAAACAAAAGCAATAATATTAATTAGTAATCATATTTAATAAAATCATTAGAAAAATACAGTCATGAAGTATATCTTCTTTTTAAAGTGTTTCGTGTTACAAAATACCGCGCGCGCCTAACGTTGGCTAACGGAGGGTTTAGATGCAAGTCGGCACGGGTTCCCGTTTATAGAATTAGCTGAAATTTTTACTGGGAGTATATAAACAAGTAATAAATATAATTAGAGGGTATGCGTAAAAAAATAAAAATAAGGAACACCCTAATATATATATATATATATATATATATAGGGGATGGAATTCCAGGACGAAAAGTCCCTTAAAGTTTTTCGATATTACATACCCTTAGTTAGTTATTTATTAAATAAAGTAGCCAATCAGAGGCGCGCTTTAGCCCGTCCCTTTACCGTCCATGCAAGCAGTTATCCTACCTCATTCTGTTAAAATTCGCTTCTGCTACTAATAACGAGGGAACGATTTTTCGTCTTAGAAAATCATCCCCTATCCACACCTTTTCTGTTCCATTCTACTTATAATATACTATTTTTTATATGTACACCATTTACTTTTCAGAGTCGGTCGCAACTCCAACAAGTTCTCGCTGCGCACATCCCCAACAAATGGCTCTGCTTCCGTCTCCTCCCCCTACATGCACTGCACTGGCTCCATGGGCCAAACGCGCCACCTGTTCGTGCGCAGAGGCGAACGGCGCATGCACTATGACGGCTCCACCTTTATAGTGCGCAATGCCGGCCACTCGGCCGGTTTCGACGACAAACACCAACTCAAAGTTTACTAAACATTTCACTTTTTTTAAATAATAACACTGGCCGATAAAAATAGTTTTTTGTTTGCTGCAAGGTAGCCAACACTTTTTCCTAGGGTAATTTTGTTGCGCTGAATCTAAAAATGACAATTTTGCACCACCATCTTTTGATTTCACGATATTGCAAAAAAAAATAGTTTTGTGCAATCATCAAATTCGTTTATTTTCTTTTTTAATAAAATAACCAAGGATCATTGGTAATAATAGCTATTGGTCCTAATTTCAATTAAAAAAATAAATTATTCACTTTCAATAATCATGTTTTTAACGATTTTTAGGGGATATGTCCGTAACTACCAATTTTGACACGCGCGGTTGATTTTATTTGATTGCGTTGAAATTTTAACATGATAAAGAGGATAAATTAAGCTTAGTAAATTTTGTTGAGATTGGACAAAAATTGGTAGTGCACTTTGAATTTAAAAAATTGGCTGAAAAATCGATTTTTTTCCTAAAAATATGATTTTTGAAAGGGAATAATAATAATAGATTCCATGGTTACATTAACAAAGATTATAATCGATAATTATCGGTTAAAGTTGTCGATTAAAAAAGGAAATATACGAATTTAAATGTTTGCGTGCAATATGCTCAAAACGAGGGATGATTGGATTCCCCTAGAAAGATGTTGACTACCCTGTGGCAAAAATGATGTTGGCCAGTGTAATTTTTCTTCTTCTTTGTTCTTTTCATTTTTCCATTTATTTTTTTTCTTCGAAATTATTTGCGATTTCAACTTGCATAAAACAAAAACAAAACGTCTACAAAAAGTGTGTATTTAACATGACAAGTGAATTTTAACGAATTTTAATAAAACAAACAAGTACCAGATAGACCGTAATTTTAAACAAAATGTATGATGTACAACAAGTATTATATCACAGAAAGTATTATAACAAAGTGTAAAAACAGCAAATAAATTTCTACTCAGTTAAAAAAATGTTTTTATTTATATAAGCTTACATTCAAGGTACATTTGTTTTTGTTTTGGTGTCAGATTTATGAATTCGTTCCAAATTACCTAAAAAATAGAATAAACATTATGCTTCCTCTTTGACAGTTCGTCACCCTAATATAACAAGGTTGTATGTTAAAAAACCGAAAAATTTGAGTTTATGCTTCTACAATCCACCCTTGACATACAACTTGAAAATAACTCTATATACACTATCGGACAAAAGTAGAGCAACACTTCAAAAAATGAAAATCCCGATATTATATTTTTACATGCATGATAATGTATAAAAATGCAATAAGTTTTAAGACATTAAAGTAGGCTATGATTATCGGTGACAACAAGAATTTTCACAAAGAAACAAATGAATTTATTTTGACATTTAGTTTTAAGCTAAATAGTAATGCGTCAAAAGTAAAGCAACATTTAAATAATTTCTTTAAAAGGAGGGTTTTAGCGAAAGTAAAGGCAAAGCTAATTGTGTGGGGTTTATTTTATGTCCTTTTTAAAAATTTCTGTGCTGAATTAGTTATGCCAAGAGGAATTCCAAAAGACTTGAAGCAAAGAGTTGTGAATGCATTCATGGAAAGTAACAGACAAGCCGATATTTCAAGACAGTTTGTGTTACCCCGGTACAGTGTATCTAAAATAATTTCATCGTATAATGACAGGGGACACTTGGAGAAGTTACCAAAATCGGGAAGGCCAAAGAAAACAACAGTATTGACCGACAGACGCATCAAAAGAATTGCTCAAAATGATCCTTGGAAGTCCGCACCTAGAATTATTGCCAAAATTCCAGAAATTGCGGCTGGTATTCGAACAGTTCAAAGAAGATTAGTAGATGCAAAGTTGTTTAGTAGACGTCGGCATTTAAACTGTACCGTCGATGACTGTAAAAAAGTTTTATTCAGTGATGAAACGCGTTACAAAATATTTAATTCTGATGGAATGAGACGTGTAAGGCGGCCAATCAATACAAGGTAAATACGTAACACCTACAATTAAACATGGTAAAGGCAGTGTTTTTTTATGGGGTTGTTTCTCTTGGAATGGGGTAGGCCCTTTAGACTTTATTAATGACACGATGGACCGATTTGTTTATCGGGATATTATGCAAAATATTATGCTTCCTTATGCAGATTGGAAAATGCCATTACGTTTTATTTTCGAACAGGACAATGATCCAAAACACTCTTCACAAGTTGTTCAACAGTGGTTTAAGGAAAATAACGTTCGAGTTTTGCAGTGGCCTGCACAATCCCCAGACCCCATTGAAAATCTCTGGGAAGAAGTAGAACGCCGTATTCGTACGCAAATGTTTCCAAATAAACAATCGTTGGTAAATAAAATTAGTGAAGTTTGGACAAATCTGTGGGTAAAAGGCATAAGGGGATAAGTCAAAAAAAGCAATTTTTCAGTAGAGCCTTAAACGTATTCGCATTAATTCAGGAAACATATTTACGGTTAGCGGGTATACCCTTTGGTTAGCACATGTCATATGCTAATAAAAGCGTATACCCGCTAAACATAAATGTATTTCCTGAATTAATGCAAACACGTTAAAATCTCTATTGAAAAATTGCTTTTTTTGACTTATCCCCTTATGCCTTTTACCCACAGAAATATTCCCGAAAATGTCATTGTCAGCAAGTAATTAATAATAATGGATATTCTATTAATTATTAATGAATTACATTTAATTGTTATAGTTCTAAAATGTGTTAAATATTTTTTGTTGAAATAAAATACAATAAAATTCTGTTGAATACAATTTCTCATTCTCATTAATTTTTATAATTATTATTATTTACCACTCTTAAACTGATTTAAAGTGCATCAAAATATTGTGAAATATTAGTTTTGAAGTAAAGATGGTATTTTATTAAAATGAGCCAAAAATCACAACCCACTATTTTTTTTATTCTTTTGTCCGATAGTGTATATGTATACATAGAATATACATTCTATAGAATTATTTTTAAGTGGTATGTGAACCGTAGGCCACGTATAATCCTGTAGAAACATAAACTTAAATTTTTCGTTTTTTAACATACAACCTTGTTATATTAGGGTGACGAGTTAGTAATTGGGGGTTTACACTTTTTTTTAAATGGTCTTTAAACAAAGTTTTTTTGATGACACTCCGGAAACAGCTGCACGTTCCCGAATATACTTTTTTTTAAACGCAGGCCTAGGAACGCAGGTCCATTCCAAATTGGAGTTTCCAATAGTAAAACAGCACGCCTTAAAATTTTAATTTGTATTGTAAATTTTCAACATATAAATGAGTACTCTGTATTTGCAGGATAAGTGATTTTAAGAAAAACACGAAAAACCGCTTACAAGGTCATTTTAGAAAAAAAAATGCAAAAGTTGTATAGACGTGCTTATTCAAAAAAGTAAAACAAAAATCCTTAAAATTAAGTAGTTTAGTAAATAAATGAAATCAAAAGATATAAAAACATAGTTTTGCATCTTCCTCGTTCAAATACCAAGTTTTGCAAGTGAAAAGTGCAAATACCAAAAAATTACAATTAATCAGGTGATTGTTATATGGTCATTTAATGCGTATACTAGCGACGTGATTGGTCTACAGCAAATACCGAGTTTTGCATCCGACAGGAAGAAACAAATACCCAGTTTTGCATCTGCGGTAAGTTTATAAATGAATTTTATTCTACAAATATTAACTTATGCATATGGTTTACTTAGGTATAATATATATATATTTTTTTAAATTTGCAAAAACCGAGTTTTGCATATAATGTACTCAAATATAATACCATTTAAGCCACAGACCACCAAAACAAATGGACGGATTTGTTTACGTTTAAAAAGCGAGTAAAGTATAGTTTCACATTCTAAACACCGTCGAAAGAAACACGGCTTCCAACGTTGTCAGAAGTATATATTACACGCCTTTTTGGACATTCATAATAACATAATGAATATTAATAATTACCAGTAACTCGTTTGAATAATAAAAAAATTATAAAAAGGATTTGTTCATCATTGTCTTTAGATATTTTTCTCTATTTAAAGAAAGTAAATAATTTAATAATTATTAAAATTAAATATTAACAACGTTGGTAAATTCGTCATATTTGACAGCATAGAAAAAGGTTGACAGCTTGTTGTTTTGTGTTTTCGTTTGTGTATTTCTATCGTGTTTAAGTTAATTATGGAGTTTAAATACATTATTTTTTACTAAAAATAACAATACATGGAAATATCGTTTGTAAGTACCTACCTACTTATTATTTTTTTTAATCCCAATACGTCACTGGAAGAAAACATAAAATTCTATCCAATTTAACCTTAGAATTCTAACCTAAGAATTTAACGCTTAGAATGTGACGGTTTGTTGACGTCACTGGAAGAAAACATAAAATTCTATCTCCAATTTGACGCTTAGACTGTGACCGTTTGTTGACCGCAAACAAATCATTGTTTTTGATTGGCAATGCGCCGTCCATTTGTTTTGGTGGTCTGTGATTTAAGCATATTAGACTAAACTTTCACTAAAATATGTGTTCAAAGAAATAATAAAAATTTAAAATGATATAAAATCTGTATGATTCATTTCGCAATGAGTCTTGAGCTGCGCGGTCGCGTTTAGCGTCTCGATAGGCGCGTACCTTCTTTCATAGTGCCATCACCGCTAAAGTTCAATAACAAAATCAATATCGATTCTACACGTGATAACTGATCCAAGTGCAAAAGAGTGCAAATTGTCTGTGGTACCTCCTGCTGGACTAAGTCCTTAAGTGTTTTACCTGGATAAAAGGTGTGAGAGAGACTATCAGTTCCAATGAATAATTTTCTGGACTACCACACGTGCGGGCGGCATGCGTTAAGGATCAATTTCATCACACCTGCCTGGCAATTATCCCGAAGTCCAAGTCTGCATAAATTAGATAAGTAGTTACCATTATTGCCTGACCATATAATACCCATAATATTAATACTAGTTAATACGAAATCCGCAACCTTTAACTAACAAATAATCCGTCAGGTAAAATTAATTAGTCGCAAACAATTTCCAAGATTCCAATGCACAAAAAGCAAACATAGTAAAAAAAAACTATTAACACAAGGGCACACATAAGAAACCATTAATCACTCAAGTTACGATAAACATTAGGCAAAAGAAAATCATGCTAAGACGTTAAGGGGACCATAAATTAGGTAAATAACCGTTCCATGCGTAAATAAACAGCCGCACCGCACAGTGGCAGCATATTAGCCAATCAAGGGTAAAAATTTAAGGGTATCGGCAATTTTTAGTAGGTTAAACAAAGGATGGACAAACAGCTGCTTATGAAGTCAGTACTCGGCATGAGGGGCTGAAGATAAGACTCAATATCGCACAGGGGGGCAAACAATTCTAAAGCGGCTATCATGAACCGAAATCCGACTCGGACTCGGACGAACAGGAAGTACACCAACAAGGATAGGCTCTAGCAGCATACTAATCCACCTACCCCCATTCAGGATTCCTAACTGAATGGGGTTATTACTAAAGCCCTGGTTGAGGAGGATTCCGGATTGTACTTAGTTTTGGGTCAGTTCAATGTCCTCCAAAACCCCCGACAGGCTCTGACATTGGCTCGTCCGAGCCAACTGGGGGATGCATTGGCTAGAGCTTTGGAATTCGAGGCGGCAAAGCAGAGCTGCAGGTGTCAGCCTAGAATTAGGAGAGTCGAAGAAAAAAAGGAGGAGGAACCTAGTATAATTGAAGCAATCAGACGAGTTCTTAAGAGAAGAAGGAAATTCGGTGTTGGAGATGTGGAAAGCTAGGACATATACGAAGTCGTTGTAGAGGAAGCCAGGTGGAGCCGATTTCGTCTCAGTCGGAAAACTAGGTAGGGTCGAGGAAAAGAGGGCACCTTTGACCTATAACCAGTATGCCCCAAAAGATATTGAACGTGTAACATCTCTTCTACACCAGTCCAGCAGTGTTTTCGTGGATGGATTTATTAATGGAAAGTTACATGTGCTGCTGCTGGATACAGGTGCGACGAAGACAATTATTAGGCCAGATATTGTCGAAATGTCCAAGATCATATCTACCAATAGGCGACTACGTACTGCAACAGGAGATTCTGCTACTGTTCATGGAGAAGTGGACATTACGATGGCCATAGGAAAAACAAAATTTAAACATCGAGTATTAGTAGCAGATAATGAAGATGCAGTTATTGTAGGCATGGACATTATGAACTATAGGATTTGAACTAAACTTTCAACAAGAAATATTGAGGTTACATGGAGATGAAGACGTATTGCATAGATCGAAAGAGAAGAATATTCGTGTATTGTAGTAGACTTTAATACGTGTCGGAAAAGAAGTGCCTGTAAGATTATTGAATGTTAATGGTTACTCTGTGAACTTGAAGAAAGGAATCGTTTTGGAAAACTGTTTCCTCCATTATTAAAGGCATTCGTAAGTCTGCAATCCCGGCCAAGAAAATGAGCAATGAATTGACGACTCTGCTTTCGACTTCTTCAAAGGACTTAAAACCCAATGAAAGAATAAAGCTGAGAGAGCTGATACACGATTCTCAGGATGTCTTTGATCACGGACAAGGAAATAAAGGTAAAACAAGAACTGGCCAGCATAAAATTAACACCGTTGATGCCCAGCCCATTCGATAATCGGCAAGAAGGCTGCCACTTGCCAAGCGAGAGGAAGCTGATAAAATTGTACAAGAAATGGAGAAGAAAGGAGTGATCGAACCATCCAACAGTCCATGGTCTTCCCCAGTGGTGTTAGTTAAGAAAAAGGATGGATCAACTCGATTTTGCGTCGATTTTCGTCAGCTGAACAACGTGACGAAGGACAGCTACCCTCTAACTAGGATCGATGACACCCTGGATACATGGGCTGGATCACAGATATTTTCGACTTTCGATTTGAAGAGCGGTTACTGGCAGGTTGAAATGGCACCAGAAGATAGAGAAAAGACGGCGTTTACCGTGGGTTCAGGACTGTGGCAGTTTACTGTCAGGGCGTTTGGACTATGTAATGCCCCTGCAACTTTTGAAAGGCTCATGGAAATGGTTTTAAAGGGACTATCCTGGAAGACATGCTTGGTGTGACTTGACGACATCATTGTGGTTGGAAAATCATTTCAGCGCTTAAGAAGTTCTGGCCTGAAGCCCGAAGAAATGTCACTTGTTGCAGAGGGAAGTGCAGTATTTGGGCCATGTTGTTTCAAGTCAAGGAGTGGCAGTGGACAAACAGAAGGTGAAGACGGTGCGGGAATGGCCAATACCGAAGAACAAACATGGATTATGGACCTACTATCGTCGGTACGTACCAGGATTCGCAAAGGTTGCTAAGCCTTTTACACGTTTAACAGAGGGAGAAAGACGATTCCAATGGGACGACGAATGTCAGGAAGCCTTTAAGAACCTGAAAAACGCATTGACCAGCTCACCAGTCCTGAGTTATCCTCTTCCGGATGGTGAATTTATTTTGTACACGGACGCCAGCAATGTGGGACTGGGAGCTGTTTTGTCTCAGATTGAAGAGGGAAAAGAGAAAGTTATTAGATACTTCAGTAAAACTTTATCCAAACCAGAACGTAATTACTGCGTTACTCGACGAGAGTTGTGAGCAGTGGTAAAATCAGTCGAACACTTTTATAAGTACCTGTATGAAAGAACATTCTTGGTAAGAACGGATCATGCTGCCCTAAAATGGCTTTTGCAATTCAAGAATCCTGAAGGACAGGTAGCAAGATGGATTGAGAGACTACAGCAGTTCGACTTTGACACAGAACATCGGGCTGGGGCCATCCATAGAAATGCTGACGCCTTGTCAAGAAGACCGTGCCCGGAAGACTGTAAACATTTTCTAAGGGCCGAAGAAAAGGATGTGTTTAGTCGTAGGGCTACACTTGTGGATGATCATTGGCAGTCCGATGAGGTTCAACAAGACCAGGAAGGGGACCCAGATTTGAAGCCCATTATCGACTGGAAGAAGAACGACCACATGGCAGGAAGTCGCCCAATATTGGCCGAATGTGAATTCGTACTGGACACAATGGAATTCCATAATCTTAAGTGAAGGACTTCTAAAGCGCGTTCTGGAGACCCCAGAAGACCGGAAGCAGTTAATAATCCCCAGAAACAGGATACCAGAAGTGCTGCAGGAAATCCATGATGGAACTACTGGAGGACATCTTGGGGTGACGGGGACGCTTGGAAGACTTAGGGAACGGTTTTATTGGGTCAATTGTCAACGAGATATAAAGGAATGGTGCAAGAAGTGCGCCGTTTGCGCAGCATGTAATGGACCCCAAAAGCGCCCGAAAGCTCCAATGCGACAGTACAATGTGGGCAGCCCATTAGAGAGAATTGCCATGGACGTGGCGGGTCCATTTCCGGAAACAGAATCAGGAAATAAATACACCATCGTTGTAATTGACTACTTTAGCAAGTGGGCGGAAGCGTACGCCTTGCCAAACCAGGAAGCTGCCACAGTGGCCGATGCCCTTATTAAGGAGTGGATTTGTGCGTTTTGGTGTGACAATGGAGATGCATTCAGACCAAGGCAGGAACTTTGAATCTATATTGTTTCAGAATGTCTGTAAGATTTTTAACATTCGGAAGACGAGGACGACTGCATTACATCCGCAGTCTGATGGAATGGTAGAACGAATGAATCGAACGATAAACCGGTACCTGTCCAAGGTAGTCTCTGATCACCAAAGACTGGGACCGCTTCCTCCGTTCCTGTTGGCGTACCATTCTTCTATCCACGATACAACCGGCCAGACACCCGATATGGGACGTGAACTTCGTCTACCTTGTGACTTGAGGTTTGGTTGCCTACCAGGGGAAGATATTGCACAGCCGTGTTCGTTTAAACATCCAGTGTCAGTGATAGAATGAAAGAGGCATATGACATCGAGACGGAAAATGGAGGATTTCAACCTGGAGACCTAGTTTGGTTATACAACCCTCAGCGCCGTTGTGGTTATTCACCGAAGCTGCAGACTTCTTGAGAGGGACCATACGAAGTCATGGATCGAATAAATGACATTATCTACAGGATCAGGAAACAACCAAGAGGAAAGCCGAAAGTGATCCATTTTAACCGATTGGCTCCTTACGCTGGAAACAATGATCAACTAGACGATGCTAGAGTAAGGAGAGTTAATCCGCCGGAAGACGAGTAACTTTATGTATTTATATTCGAGCGGTAAAAAAGCTCGGTATGGTGTCACTCGAGAAGAACAAAAAGATCTGTTCATGGTTTTTGCCGATTACTCCTTGTCTCACTGTGTTGCAGAAGACCTTAGGATGTCCATGGGGAATAGCGGTTGTCTTTAAAAACAAGTTTGGACGGGTCGACGAGCTACGAAGGCAGAATCCCAAAGTTGGAGAGGTGCTTGAAATTGTGGATAATGAAAAGATGGGCAACAGAAGTATCTTCTATTTGGTAACGAAGCAGCTCTCCCATCAGAAGCCAAACTACCGTGACGTATGGAATGCCTTAAATAAATTGACGGATACCCTTTTGTCCAAGGACATCATGAACCTGGCGATACCGAAGATTGCTTTTGGACTTGACGGTTTAGATTGGAGAATAATTAGAAGTATGTTGAAAGTTATCTTCAGATTTAGTGGCATACACAATCTTGTCTGTGCCACAACCCTAAAAAACAACCGGAATGAAGACCGTAGACTGCTACTTCTATAGGACGTCACAATGCAAGTTGGATCTCTATGCAAATATCGCTAGTTTTTTCAAATATTTGAAGAACCGCTGGCTTTTATTCATTTAAATAGGCTTGTAATTAGGCAACTTTTCTCTAATTTAACCGACCTTGTAGATCTTCAAATAAAATATACCCATAGAAGTTACAAAGAAGGAAACTTGGTGCACCCTGTATATCTGACCAATACTGAAAAAAGTCCTATGGAAATCAAGTTTTATTATTCTTATATCAAAATGTATAACTTTAAAATTAGAAATTGTAGTTACAAAATGGCGTCAATAAAAATTGCCAAAATGGAGTCAATAAAATTGCCAAAACGTACAAAGGTTTGACGTCATAACTGCTTGACCGCGAAAGCAGGTCTTCAAATTTGAATTAAGTGTCAATTTGGCAATAATTGAAACCAGTCTCCAAAATTTAAAAAAATGATTTAAATGTATTTTTATACTCCTATTACATAATTGTGATATTTTGGTTTTACGCATATAATGGTAATCTATAATATAACCTAACAACACGAATAATAAACTCATTATTCTCGTTGTTGGCATCATCAGTGATTGGTCGATTTCACGGGGGGCGACTATAATTTTCTTTAAAATCGGAAGAAATTGGACCGGCTGAAACATGTATTTATAAATTGTTATTAATGAAAATTACTTTATTGGAATGTAATGGGGGCATAACACCTTTTAAAAAGCAATGTAAATACGGAAAGACACTAAATTAAAATATTCAAAATAGTACAGCACTTTACAAATCCCAACAAAGATCCAAGCTGCATGGTTGCGCCAACTCTATAATAATCACCAGTTGCATTTAGTCAACAAGGAACCAACAAATTTACTCAATAAAAAATAAAATAAAGAAAAAATATTGTAAGAAATAAAAAGTTTAGTACGAATTCGATTTATAAATAAAATTAAAACGTGGAACCTGAAGGAACCCTTAAAAAGCTGTTATTACATAATCATATTATTTTTAACGTAGTTTGTTTTTAAAAAAAACATTTTTTGTTAATGCAAACCCCCAAATTATCTTTTATATTTTAGAAGATATTAACTAAATGAAACTTACAAAAACTGGTACATATCCAGTTTTTTCCAACTGCCTCTTTTTCATCAACATTTGTCCCAACAAAAAACTAGTTTCTCTTATAGTTTGGTTCCAACCCACTATAACAACTGCGTAATGAGTTAAATTTTCATTTTTTTGAGGCTTCATTATATCTCCTAAAGTATAATTTTCAAAACCTATTGGTTTTGTGAACTTTTTCGATTTTTTATCCTTACAAATTATTATATCTAAAATTATAGTTTTTAGTTACTTACTATAGTTATATTTTACCCAAAACTCTGTGAAACAAGTGATGGTACGTTCTTTGAAACTTTTAATGGTGCAAAAATGTAATATTATTTATTTCAAGGAATTTTTATATTTTTTTGTTTATTATACATATAGTTACTATTAACTATTCACTAATTGATATTTTTTCTAAGAATCTGGTTAATTTTTTCCTTTTCAAATTAATTTTAACTTGGAAAAGTGTCAAAAGAAAATTAAAATAATTAGACAACGTTGTAACCATCAAATTAAATTCAACGTGGAGTAAAATTATTGTCATACATGTTACATGATGTAAAATAAGTTTGTAATTAATTTGTTTAATAATGTACAGCAATTTTCACTATTGCAATATGCTATTAATCCTTGACAAGTTTCAGTAGATTACGAAAAGTTAAAGAAAATCCTAATTTTACGTCTACATGAGGTCTTTAATTTTCACTTTTATAGCCACGAGAATCTGAATTTAGTGCATCATCCCAGTCATTAGCTATCAATTTAGTGTAAGCTTGTGGGCTGGAATTCCAGACAACCGACTAATTTGACAAATAATTCCTGACTGTCTCAGCAGAACTTCTTAAATTACTTAAAAAAAACTGAAAATTTGATTGAGATTTGTGTGTTGCCTGGTAATAAATAATGACATAAAATTAATGTTTGTCTTGATTTAATTTTGACAACGGTGGCAATTTTTTTAAATTTAATATATATATATTATATATATATATATATATATATATTAGGGTGATTTTTTTTTCACGACAATTTTTATTTTTTCGCTCCCAACTCAAAATCTTGTTGAAAATGTTAAAAAAAAAATTTCCTGAAAATTTGAGCCCTTAATATTAACTCGAAGTACTCGACCAAAGCGTATAAAGATTTCCCATTTAAAATACACGTAAACTTTGATTATTTTTTTTTAAATATCTATATCTCAGCCGCATTTTATGCTATTGGATTGTTTCAAAAAAGGATTTACTCGTAATCAAAAGTTCTACAAAAATGCTTTATGTGCCATAGCTGTAATCTGCACATGTAGGATGGTACGGGTCACTAAATCTTATTTTAGTGAAAAATCATCATATTTTTGAAGATATTTCAAAAGTGACTGGATTCTTTGAAAAAATGTAAAGAACAAACTTGTAGAAATTTTTTTTTTTTTAAAATGTCCTATCAGTTGAATCGCTAAGATTGATATTTCTTGAGATATAAAGCGTTTACATTGACAATTTATGAAATTTTTAGGATTTTCGTATCAAACTTTATATAAATTATTATTTTCAATTGTTTATCAGTAAAATTTCATGTAATTACGTTTTTTCTACAGTCGGGTGATTAGAGAAAAATAAATAACTAAAACAATCAAGCATAATTATTAATAAAATAACATGTTGTATGTAATACACCTCGTTATATCAATTTTTAGGTTAGATATATCTTTTTTCTTTAAAGTTATGTTATTAATAATTATGCTAGATTGTTTGAGTTATTTATTTTTCTCTAATTACCCGACTGTAGAAAAAACGGAATTACATGAAATTTTACTGATAAACAATTGAAAATCATCATTTATACAAAGTTTGATACGAAAATCCTAAAAACTTCATAAATTGTCAATGTAAACGCTTTATATCTCAAGAAATATCAATCTTAGCGATTCAACTGATAGGACCTTTTTTAAAAAATTAAATTTTCTACAAGTTTGTCCTTTACATTTTTTCAAAGAATCCAGTCACTTTTGAAATATCTTCAAAAATATGATGATTTTTCACTAAAATAAGATTTAGTGACCCGTACCATCCTACATGTGCAGATTACAGCTATGGCACATAAAGCATTTTTGTAGAACTTTTAATTACGAGTAAATCCTTTTTTGAAACAATCCAATAGCATAAAATGCGGCTGAGATATAGATATTTAAAACAATAATAATCAAAGTTTACGTGTATTTTAAATGGGAAATCTTTATACGCTTTGGTCGAGTACTTTGAGTTAATATTAAGGGCTCAAATTTTCAGGGAATTTTTTTTGAACATTTTCAACAAGATTTTGAGTTGGGAGCGAAAAAATAAAAATTGTCGTGAAAAAAAAATCACCCTAATATGTATATATATATATTTCGTAAAGTTCCTGAAGAACCTACCATCACCTGTTTCATATAGGGTGTCCCAGAACTTGGGTACAGAGAAAAATGGGGCGTGCTGATAGCAATGGAGATGCCAAATTTAAAAATAAAAAATGTCTAGGTAATAGTGTAATCGAATGAAAGCAAAAGAGCAACAGCGAATACCGAGAGCTCTCGCCTGAATTAAACGGAGTTTTAAAAATTGCTAGGAGAAGATAGAATATTGTTGACATAAAACTTTTAAAAATCTTTTGGCCGACTGTTTGCTAACCTTTCAAAAAGAAATGTTATAATTCAGGACGACAATGTTTTAAAGTTATGCATTCCAGAGCCAAAATCTCTACTACAGAATTCCACTTTAGCGGGATTATCTTCCGGCTGCAGCTGCTTCACTCGCATAAAATAAACGTCCTTCATAACCCACTGAACTGTGAAAGGGAAATTCGCGTGCAACTTCCCTTATGCTCTTCCTACTATTTGCATCAAAGTCATTAAAAATAGCTTCTTTATTTTCCGCTGTTCTAATACGTAAAGGAGCGACGTTAATTTCATTACAACTCAGAACAACTTTACAGTCCAGGGGACGATCGGGAAAGCGCTGGGAAAAACTCGTGCTGCCTTCCTAGCATTGTGTCCTTACTCATCATTTCGGCATAATCAGAGGAGAAAAACAACCTAAAATGATAAATAATGACAGAAACAAAAATTTACGGCAGTGTCACAATGAAGTGGATTCTAGTCGACCAAATATTTTACATATTATAATATTGTGTCAAGTACCACTCTGAATCTCGTAATATCCTTGATGCCTCATCGGCGATGAGTCATCGCCGGTGAGTCAACGCTTGAACGATCGAGAGCGGTGTGGAGCTTACTGGAAGGTTCGAGGAGGTGCATGCGTGAAGTGGGTCACGTACGCACCGAATATATAAGGCACAGCGGAGCGTCGAGTTATAAAATAAATCGTTTAGTTCGTTAATAAACCAGTGCGTGTTTTATTCAAACTGCGAACCGATACGTTACAATATCAACAATGCATCCTAAGTAACCTAGCAATTTAAATAATTCCCTATGGCCATGTGTTTGGATTGGCTATCGTTTTTTATTTATATCTCGCTTATCCATTGCGTTAGATAATTTTAATTTTCAAGTATGTTTCTCATAACTTTCGGCACGTTCCCTTTTTCTTTGTGGCGCGAGTTCTGGAACACCCTGTATAAGTACATAATTACCTGCTTTAGCATATTGTGGTAAAACATGATCAACCAATATCAAAGCTTTATTTCCTATAATTGTTTCCACGGTATCAATTGTATCCAACACCAACTTTTCGGCCGAGTTTATTTTTTTAAATTGGTCGGAAGTAGGGACAAAATCCGTATTCCATTTAGCAGCTTTGTACAACAATTTTGGCGCCAATCTATTACCGATATAGTCTGGACATTCTATGTCTATTGAACGGTCTAAAACGAAGAGTTCTCTTGGTACATTTCTAGCCCCTTTACCTAAAAATTCAAATGTAAGTCCCTTGTGTTTGGAAACAAATTAAATCAAAATCAAAAATATTAATTTACAATTTTTTTAAAGATTTTACACTGTGCTATGCTTAATTTTACATGTGTAATATTACCAGTGGCGTAACTAAGCAAGTCTGCGAAATATTTATAGCGCATGTACATTGTACCAAGTATCCTCCTTTGTGTATAGGTATTTTTGTTTTTATTTAATAAGTTACAAGGTCGGTTGAATTGAATAAATTGAAAAAAAAAGCCAGCGGTTCACAAAATATTTAAAAAAATAAAAACCTTTTAAAACCAAAAGTAGTTATTCCTGGGAATTAAAAAAAAAGTAAGTTTTACATGTAAACATCATTTAATTTCTTCGCTACTGTATTTTGAGTTACCATTACCTTCTTTTGTTTTTATAACTATAGTTTGATACATCTTTGGATTCCTTAATTTTTTTCTAACTAACCATGTAAAATTCCAATATGGCGGGCATAGGAAAAGTAATATATGCTGGTGGTAACTCCAAATCTAGTGGGCGAAAAAAATCACACATAATAAAAATGTAGATAAATGTGTTTGTTAACATGTAAAACTTACTTTTCTTCAAAATTCCCAGAAATAACGAAATTATAACGATTTTTGGTTTTGACAGGTTTACAGTTTTATTCAAATTATTTCAGAACCGCAGATTTTTTAAATTTTAATAGACTTGTAACTACGCAACTTTTCTCAAATTTAAGCGACCCTTTAGCTCTTTAAATTCAAATACATATATACATATACATATACAAAGAAGGTGCACCCTATATAATAAATCTCCAGGTCAACCTTTAGGCGCCCCTGTATCTTCGGCGCCCCCACTGAATATTGCATATATGTGTCCGTTGATTAAATTAAATATCAGACAGAGCGGCTACCGAAATACATTTATTTAATTGTGCCTGAACATAGAGATGATGGACGGGGTGACATTTCTTAGACCGCTCAACTTAGCCTGAACGCACAGTATTTAACACTTTGGAAACAGTCGAATATTTCCTAATATACGCGTGCCATCCCACTTTTGTAAACACAAATCGATTCCAAAAGTAAAACGGTTTCGGTACACGTTAGCACACCTTAAAATTACTATTTTTATATAAATTAATATTTTAATACACACTAGGCATTTTAAGGCACAGAAAAACTTTCACTAAAAAATATGTTTATTATCAATTTTCCCATTTGAGTTCGTAGTCTTTGTGTACGGCCTACACACTGTAGGCTCCATGCTTTAAATTATCAACTTTCAAAACTGTCAGCAGATATCGCTGGTGTCAGCCAAAGAACACCAAAGAAGCAAAACCGAAATAGGGCGAAAGCAAACAGCCGAAGATACCCGCTCTGGTTCACGTCGTTGTACCAGGTCATACCAACTTTAAACAAACAAAAACGTTTCTAACTTAACATTTATTTTTATGTTTTTAAAATCTATATGAAACGGGTTTTGGTAATTTTTGCTTAAAAATAATAATTATTGTATTTGGGTACGATTTCTTTCTATGATCTCTGGTACGATCTTGTTCCTATTTTGTGGGTACGATCATGATGAATCCAAATCGTTTATTTGACACGAGTTCAAGTTCTGCATCAGAAAGCGAGGAAGAAAATGTAATGGTTTTGAGAAGGGGAAAAATTTTTTGATCGATTTCGGTTGACAAAGCCTACGGTTCTAGCATTACTTTAACAAATAGCACCTTTAATATCTCTCCCTACAAATAGGTAGGTACCTATTGATATATTTCATAAGCTGTTTTATTGTATGTTAAATATTCCACAGGGGTGGTTGCATCCAACCAGCAGAGCAGTTACTGGTAACATTAAGGTTTTATGCCATAGGTATCGTTTTAATAACAGCTGGTGATTTTATGGGTATTTCAAAAACCTCAACATGCCGAATTGTAAGAAGAGTTTCATTAGCAATAGCTTCACTACGTCCTAAGTATGTTAAAATGTATGAAACAAATAAAGAAATGCAAAGTGCTGCCCAAGCTTTTTATTGGTGCTATAGACTGTTCACTTATTTCTATAGATTCGATAGGAGGTAGAGATGCAAAAATATATCGCTGTCGAAAAGGATATTTTGCATTAAATGTACAGACTGTGTGTGATGCTCAATTAAAAATTAGGAATATAGTGGCCCGATGGCCAGGCACGATCAAACCATTTTTAACAATAGCAGATTACAATGATTACAGATGACAATTTAAAAATAGTTCATATACACCCATGAACCTATCTTCACGAATGGAATTTTAGGGGCGCCAACATAGCAATATTTTAAAAATCCATCCTTTACTTAAAGAAGGAATTAATTTTATTATGGAACTGATCGCACTTTAAGAACGATTTTAAAGCGACTTTAAGATAAAGCTTACTTTTCGCAAAGAAGCCTTTTGATGTTATTTATGGAACCGGCTGTATTGGTTTTTACGGGCTTTATAAAATCAGCTCTTTTATCAAGCCAATTGCTAGGTACAATTAAATTATTTTTATGTGTTACCTATATGTTAATTATTAAATGTTTTTTTACAGATATGATATGCTTTTACAATAGTTTCGTATTATATCTAACTTTGTAATTAAACTTTTAGGCAAAGAAGCATCAAAAATCCAAAAAGGAGATAAATCGAAGAGCTTAAGGATTTCATCTTCAAAATAGGAGCCACAGGCAGTCCAAGGAACTTTCAGGATCTGGTGAGAATTATTTTTTAAATTTATTTATTTCTGGTAGTGTTTCTGTGATATTTGTGCAATGGCTGCGTTTTCTAGTAAATCCTTTTCTGGCAAATGTACAAAACGTTGTTCCTTTCCTGGATGTGATAGTGTATACCCAGACCGCAAAATCACATTCCCTGCACATGCCAGGAATATTCCCAGGAATATTCCAATCGTCCCAGAATATTCCCAGGAATATTCCTGGCATAATCAAATGTCCGCTTTTTGATTAACCCAGGCATCATAAAAATAATATTCCATATATCTGCCTGCAGAAGACTCAAGGATTATTAGGGGAATATTCCTTGATATAATTTGGGGATTATATTCCCAGCCCATATTGCCTCTTATACCCAGGAACTTAACTTAAGTATAGCCATTATTGAGTTACTGAGTAGATCAGTCCCACTATAATCATTGTTTGGCTGTGCCATCACAGACGCACATCTCCAACTAATATTATTAACCTATCGGTATATATAGTTATCAAGCGTGCGTAAGCAACGGTGAGAGGTATTGCAACTAAACTAATGAATATTCACTGGGAATATTCTTAGATGATGCTTGGAAGTTTTAGAGGATCATTCTAGGAATATTCCCAATGAATATTCCTAGAATGAAGCGGAATATTCCTAGGCGATACGGAATATTCCTGGAATATTTTCGAACCTTCATTGCAGTCTGGGTACTATATTAAACTTTCTAATTCAATGAATTTCAAACCACAATAATAAATCCTTATTTATGTATGAGTCTACCAAATCAGCTTGGTATGCGATCTGTGAAATTCCTTTGGAAGTAAAGTCCCTCTTGATTTGTGAAAATCATTTTTTATCCTCCGATTTCAAAACAGAGAAAAAAAGGAATTTAAAACGTGGAACCATCCCAAAAGACCTTTCTAAAATATAAAAACCCTAATTTTCACGATCATACTTATTACAGGCCCTCCTATTCACTTGAAAAACTCTCTAAAGTTTCAAATGGTAATGACATTTGCAACCCAAGAACATCAAAATTGCCCCAAATTCCAATGGATACCTATATCTCTGCCATCCACTTCTGCTGAACCTTATACCACCCCATCAACATTAGCTAAAGCATTTACCACACCATCTACTTCAGTTGAAGCTTCTATTAACCCATCTAAAGTTAAAAAGGCTCAAAACCCATGCAATGTCTAGAGTTTCTCAGCTCAAAAATAAATAAACAAAATGCTGATTTGATAAATCTGCGGGATTATACAAAACCGGTGAATTAGAGTGTCTCAATACAGGGTTAAACAAAATTAGTTTAAATTTTATAAGGTCTCAAATTAAAAATGCAAGACGTAAACCAAAAGGGAGGGTATGGACAGATGATGATAAAGCTTTTGCACTTTTTATGTACAAATGAAGTGGAAAGCTTTATCGATATATATCCACCCATTTTTCCTTGCCGTCAATTACCTCTCTTAAAAATCTTTTAAGTAAAATTCAATTAAATACTGGTATTAAGGATTTGCATTTGGAACACCTAAAAGAAATTATAAAAACCTTGCCTGATAACAATTGCAGTGTGCTTTTTGATGAAATGTCTTTAAGTAACTTTTTATATTTTGATGCTAAAAAGCAAGAAGTTTGTGGTTTTGAAGATTATGGGCACCTTGGTCGTACTCCCAGAAGGGCAGATCATGCACTTGTTTTTATGATAAGGGGTATAAGTTCAAATTGGAAAGAGGTAATTGCATAATATTTTTCTAAAGGTACTGTTCCAAGTAATAATTTAAAATTAATTTTAATTGAAATTATTTCTAAACTACAATCCATTGGATTAAATGTTAGAGCAACTATTAGTGACCAAGGGAGCACCAATAGAGGCGCTATAAACCTATTAATTTCCGAAAGTAACATTGGATCTCATTGTTTTCAAATTAATGAAAAATGTATTTAAATACTTTATGATACACCTCATTTGTTAAAAATTTCACGCAATTCTTTGCTGCGTTGTAATATTAAATTTGTCAAATTTGCACACATTATACAAGCATATAACATTGATAGAACGCAAAATTTATTTCGAATGTTGCCTAGATTATCAGACCAGCATTTTAATTTTAAAAATTCATTCACAAAAATGAAAGTTGGCTATTCACACAATAAATTCTCTATTTGATTCCTTAAACGGGGTCGGTTATAAGGAACGCTTTAAACCAAGTATTATTATTACAGATGAAACAAGGGAAGAAGAAATGACTGTTCCTA